TACTTCCACAGAAAAGGTTCCCAGAGCAACTGCATGGGCCAGTTGCTTCATCCCTCAGGTGGGAAGGTCCTTTTGGAAGACTTTCATTTGGAGGATGCTGAAATCTAGGAAAATTCTTTGATTGCTTTTAAAAGAGCAATTTTATACCAACTGGTTTGGAGTTTAAAGGGTATCTTTACTCATGAGCTTGAAGTTAAATGAGTGATCAACTTCGAATACACACTTAAGACTTTCTAAAAACCCTTGAGGAATAATTGAGACATCTCCTTTTTATACTGTTGGAAAACTGCTCCTCACAGGATCAGGCTGACTGGTGTCTCCAGCAATGACAACACCATACTGTATACAAACGTCTCTGAAATGAGCCTTTTGCTTTCAAGAATCACTTCTCTCTCTGCGTACTTCTTTAAATCATTCTGTTCTATGTTGCAGCCAAAGATTTCTAAGAAATGCCTCTACGCTGCTGTTTTATACAGATATCTCAGCTTGTTCCCCTAAGGGGGTTCAACATAGAGAACTTGCTTCTCCTGTGGCCTCCTTCTGCGTTTCAGAGGAAAAATAAAAAGACAGACATGAAGCACTTTCTCATTCTCTGAAAAGAACGGAAGTCATACTCCCCACTGCTCCCTCCCCGGCCCTTGTCTCAAAGACAAAACCTCCACTTTTAAATCAAACTGAAGAAAAAGGACATTTGATATCGTGGTGTAGGAAAAGCTCCTACTGAAGTCGGCAGGAATCTTTCCACCAATTTCAGGAGGAGTTGAAGCATATTGCTACCAAACACTAAGAAACAGAACATAAACTCCACGTTCTACCCTAAGTGAGTTTTCTGATTTTGTTACTTCTTTTTTTCAAACTTGAGCCGAGACTAGTATTTTCAAAAAAAAGCAGAGCTAACTTTTCCTCTTGTACTACTTGTACACATAATGCAGTAAAGTTACTTGGTTGTCATGCATTTCTCTAGCTCACCTGGATCTTGGGCTATCGCCATGTTTCCAGCTTAACCTCCTGCTCTGGGTGAGTGGAAGGAGATCAGACCTGACTTGAAACCAGCTATTGTCCCTGACCTAAGAGGAAACCTTACTTTGCTACGTACCAACACACTAGAAAATTAGAGCAGGTCTGAAGCAGGGCTGGATGGCAATTTGAAGGTGTAGTTTCTTGAATAGTTTCCCAGGCCAGTGAACTTCCCCCCTTGCATGAAACCATAATGGCTTATGTCCCTTGACATTAAGATACGGCCAAAATCACCGTCAAGTGAACAAAGTGGAATCCAGTGTTTTGCATTAAAGTATTTTAACTTCTGAAAGCAAACAGTATTTTCAGCCTCTTGACCACGTCCTCCACATCTCCTCCCAGACACTCCCCAGTTAACGATTCATCCTTGTTAAACCAGGTGGGCTCCTCCTTCTTCATCAGATCATTCTCCTGTATGCTCTGCTGCTCGCTGACAAGTTCTCCATAGTTAATACTCTGCTTCCATCAACCAGCTCTTTATCCAGAACTGCTGACCCAGATTCGCAAGAAAAAGTTGTAACAAAATAATTACAACAATATTCAAAGCAGCTACAGATACACAAAAATGAAGTCACCTAAGAAAAACGTTTACTCATTTACGCTAACATTTAGGTTACACACACAAAGATGATACACGCTTTATATTTGTGTCAGAAAAAAAGGAATTTCACTCTTGTTACTGGAAAACATACAGCATACACTGTTTTAAGTCAAGTCCAAGTGCATGAGTCAAAGGAACACAGTTGGATGGTCAGGGGACAAACAGAGGAGTTGTGGTTTTGCAGGCTTGTTTTTTTCCTTAATTCATTTTAAGTTTATGCCAAAGCAGATTTTTCTAGTATCACTTCATCCTGCCACAGAAAGCAGAGTTCTACTGCAAACTCAATATTAGACATATGCTTTGCTGGATGAGCAAAATTGAATTTTATTTAAAGTTTGGGGCAATGAAATGACACTTCAGATTAATTTCCTTTTAAAAACGCTCCTAAGCTGGACTTCAAACATTGGGAGAATATGGGCACAGAGAATTTGAGTTACAAAAAACCCAACATTTTAATTAACTGCTTTATTGAAGATGGAGAATTCAACAAAAATTCCCATCTGTATTCAGAAGTCTATTAAAAATAATCCAAGTTTCATGCCTGAACTGATCAGTATCTGTTTCATAGTGGGACATAAGCAAAGAAGTATTACGTCTAGATTTTCCTCCCCACTAAATTCAAAATTACACCTTTGCTTTACCTCTCAAACTTATACTAGATTGTTTCTTCCCAGCCAAAGAGCACGAGCCTTTGGTTTGCAGCTGGAATTGGCATGGCCAGTAACCATAGCCCAGCTGGGAAACAGTGGCTTCAGGATGAAGCCCTACAGCCTGATCACTTCCAGTTAGGTAGCCACACACTCAGGCTCAGTGCTTTTTTCCATAGGAACAGCCTACCCACCAGCCGTTGTTTCCCCAGGTAGGTCAAACAGAGGTTCTCTAACTTAAGGACAAGAAGAAGCAAGTCATAAACTGAAGTTTGTATTACTTCCCTCCACCTCCACCCCCCCCCTTTATAATCACACAGCAAACCTCAAACTGAAACCATCTAATTCTGCAGCAATGCTCCACTCTTCCACACGAAGCCCTGGGCTAGCCCGCGCTCATCTGCACGGCTGAGCCATTACTGACCTGTATCATGTACAGCTGCGCAATTCGATATTCTTCCACGCTCATCGGAAAAAAAAAAATACGATATTCCTTTATGAGCATTTTGAATATAAAAATCCTTTGTCCGCTCAGAAACACAATCCAGAAGCTTTCAGTAAAGGCTCCTTAAATAATGGCAAGCAAATGCATGGAGGATCCCTGAAACAGAGTGAGAGAGAGAGAGAAAGGAAAAAAAAGGAGCAATTATTTTCCATTCTTATTAGAGAACACCCTATTAGAAAACATAAAAACAACAGGCAAACGTTAATTTTTGTAAAAGTCATCACCTTGATAGCAGAGAGAAGAATCCCTGGAGTGCTACCACACCCTTGGTATCAAATTGAACAGAATCTTGTAGAAGAATTTTGATTTGCTTCAAGGGATACCATCAAAGTTATTACCCGCCTGACCTTTGCTACTGTATCAATCAGACTTTCATATGCAATAGCATCTCCATGGAAAAGATGTGACAAAAGCTCAAAATGAATAGGCAGACCTTCCGTTACCAGACAATAAAGCATCTCTCCAATGTCAGCAACACACCAGAGATGCATCCACTCAAAAGTATCAGGTTTTAGCCTCTCACGTTCATTCAGCAGCAAGAAAAGGCAGTAATTAGACTTTCTCAGCCCTCAGTAACATCATCATGAAGTCAGTCATTTGGATTCTGACAATAAAGACAGCAGAAATGTACTTTTCTTCTCTGCTTTATTCTAAATTACTGTCTTGGTAGGATCCCTTCTCTTTCACCTCTAAAGTAGTCTACAAGCAAAATCCTCCTGCCACTGATGTTGATGCCAGACTCATTTTTACACTCCCATTGCATAAGAACACAGCAAAAGATTAAACTATAATATAGAAAAAATTCCCATCATACCCCACCTTTAGGCAATTTAATAGAATTATTGCTTAATAATATGGGGAATACAGCATTTACTACACCAAAGGTTAAAGCAGTAACTTTTCAAATATTCTTAAGACTCCCTATGGGCTGTGGATAAAGACAATAAAATCACATAAGGAAGGGCAGGGAGGGAGGGGAAGATGACTGGTGAGGAAAAGAGGACACAAGAAGCAAAGCTGTCCATTATCAGGCTAAATTGGCCTCAGCAGGCTCTGATGGTCGCTCTCCCAGCACACAAAGAACTCGCCTGGTTCCTTCTCAGCACCAAAATCCACCTTTCTGCTGTGCCTGCTTATTGGAAGTCTTCAGATACAGCTGCTGGAGCAAAACCAGCAAAAACTCAACGCCTGAGAAAAAAAAAAAAACACACCACAACCTAGGATATAAACAACCAACGTATCTAGTGGATTAAACCATGGTCTGGGAACCAGGAAACCACACTGCTATCAACAGGCCTTAGTGCTACTCAGTGTTTGCACAGCACTTCACCAACCTTTTACAAGGTTCGGAGAGGTTGAAACACATGCCCATGGTCACAGAGCAACCAGGGACAAAACTCAGCATTTATGACTCAGGTTTACCGACTTCTGATCTGCATAAGACTCAAAGGGCACTGCAGCATCTCTGTCTCACATCAGACCTGACCCACCACTGAGTTTACACCGGGGCACTGCTCACCCCATCCCAGCTGAAGGGTTTGCCCAACGCAGCACGGCAGTGCGGGGGCTGCACGCCTGTTAGCTTGCTTCCCTTTGATTGCCGCATTTCTAATTTGGCAGTAAAGCCAATCCATCCTGGACCGACTCTTCTGGAATAGCTATCCGTCTGGTGCTGCATCATTGAAACAATTTATTTTCAAATTCAATTCTCCATTTTGTTTTATTGCTGTCAGAGCAATCTGTGTGTGTGGAGGGGGGGGTGGGGGGCAAGGGGGAGATTAGAAAAAAAATAACAACAACAACAAAAAAATGTATCTTTGCCATGGCAAGCCTTGTAGACAATAATTCTGGGAAGACTGAGCTTCCCAACACTGCTGTGCCTATGCACACGAGTGTGCACATCCATGTGCACATGCAGGATTTCCTCCATCAAACTAATCCTCCAGAATAGGTGGGGATAATCTCATGAGATGTTTCTTAATTAGCAGTATGGCAAAGAACTACAATAACCACCAGAGGATGGATCTCTAGCACTGGTCCTGGATCTGCACTGGTACAATGCCAGGATCCCAACTCTTGGAGCTAAGGGCAGTGGGAGACTCAGCTACACGTCTTGAGCAGTTCGTTATGCTTTAGAGATCTTTGAAAATTAGATTTAAAAGCTTTCTCCCCCATTCCCCAAATGCTCTGAAAGCAATTCTGCTCCCACCATAAGGACATCAGTCACGTCTGCCTTTGCTGCTTGCTAAAAACAGGATATTTCTATCGATTGGAAGAAATGAATAAAACAAAAAACAGAACCTTAAAAGCAATAAAATGGCAGGAAAGCAGTACCAAGATGGAAAAAATGTGTTTATAATGAAGTGCCAGGCAGGTAATAATTCAGACGGCCAAGACACAAGAGGGCTTATTTTATTACAAATGAAAAAACCCAACCGCGTCGGCCTCGAGCGGGCACAGCTGCAGCCACCAGCAGCCCCCTCGGAGCACCCAGCGTGCGCAGCGTGTCTGGCCGCAGCAGTAGCTCCTGGTCCAGCCTCCTGCCCAGCTTTTACAGGAGCTGAGGTTTGTCTGTGAAGTTCCCCTTCAGCTTTCTACTTCCCTGCGGTCAACATTTAAAACCAGTGTCTGGGCTCAGCCTGCAGGTCTCCAGGCAGCAGCAGGTCCTGCTGATGTGCTCGTCGGAAAGGAGACGCTCCCAAAAACTCCTCCAGCAGCCGCCCACTCCAGCTACTGCAGCCAGTCCCTGAAAGTTGGGTAGGAAACAACCCTGGAAACACACTGGCTAATAGCAAGAACCACACTGTAACCTCAAACCAAGTGGGCCAGCAAGAAAAGGCACCTGAAGAAGACAAAGAGAATGAACCTGATTTGTTTGCCTATTTTTTTTTTTTTAAGCTAGACTGTTTAAAAAAAGAAAATATATATATCAATGTAAGTTTGCAGCTTGGGCTGCCTTTGAGCTGAAAATAACCTGCCCTAAGCCTCCTAAGAGCAGTGGAGCCCAGGTGGCAAACCAGGAAAGATAAACACGGGTTTTCACCAGATTCAGATCTTGGAGAACACCATGCCAGGTGGGACAGAAGGGACAAATCGTGCTTTCACACAGCTCACCAAGGACAGCGACCTCCTTCCAAAGTCTTGGGACTTCGTAGAGAATCAAAGCTCACCAAGACCACTTACTGTATTGCCCAAATGAAACACAGAAGTCTGACTGCAGGCACGATGGCTGCTACAGAGAGAAGAGAAAACCCTTCTGGAAGTGAGGGAGCCATGACACAGCTTCGGAAAACTGGTGTCAAAACACCAGCTGTGTCCCTGGCACTTACCCACATCCAGCCCAGTGCAACACACAGCCAGAGGTGTTTGAACGGAGATGCCCAACGTGCCGGGACTAGCAAGCGGCCAGTGTTCCGACGGCAGGCTGGATTTTGGCTGTCCAGCTGCCGAGCACCAAGCTGGACTTTCTATGGGTTTGCCAAACTCCTGCAGTCACGCAAGTGGGCCTGGTGGCAGCCCAAGGCTGTTTGCAAAACTCAGCTTGCACCCGGCTTCTCTCAGCCAGAGGAAAACGATGGTGACGCAGGACATTTCCAGGCTCGCTGCTATTTCTGCTGTAGCCAAGTGGCACATTTGTACAGGCCGTTATTCAATTTATACACAGAGCTGTAGTAGCTGAGAAAGCCAGGCACATAATTTTATACCTCAATCATTTTAAAATCAGGTTCTCAAAGCATCATAATTACACTCCAGAGTCAATATCCTGCTGCGATGAGTCAGGTCCACCTCTGAGCTATTGCTTCAGGCTGTCTGAAGGCTAACTCACCACGCGCTGCATTTATTTCTGATTTTAACGGTTTCCCTCGCAACAATAACAAACTTTTCAAGGAATTGCCTTTTCTTTAAAGTGAGGGGGAATATCAGGATCTGCAGAAGCTGAACAGATCGAGAGATCCAGCCAAATCTCTCCTTTTAGCCCATGAACTTGGTGTTAGGGGTTGTCACTTTGGGAGCATCAGGGCCAGCCTCCCTGTTACCAAACGAGGTAGCAGAGGACTGATGACAAGTGACAGCTTGTAATTAAGGAATAAGAGTTAGTGCATAAAGGGTATTTAAACTGTGCTACTGGATTCCTGGTGGCCAAACCCTGGCCAGCCTGGCCCTGAAGGCTACGGAAAAAGAGTATTACAGCAAAAATCCTGGCTCCTTGACCTGCCACAGTTGGGTCCAGGGCAGGAGAATCACTCATGCTGGTGTGTTCAGGCTACAAAAGGGCTGTTACCGCCCTGTTCCCAGCTGTGCTGTTCCAGCTGTCCTACCTGTCACCTCAACAACTAATTTTTGACCAGCTCACGTTTTCCATGTCCAGGCTGCTGAGCACAGGCTTTTTAGGGCTGGAATGAGCTACGCCACGGCAGCAACCACCCACCCCGTGCCACAGCTGCTATTTCCCATTTTCAACAGGGAAGAAAAATCCCTAGGTGCAGAGAGCAACTGTAATGAGCTTTTCCTAGCCTCACGCAGGAGGTTCATTTACACACTATTTTAAAGTTAAAAGACTCGCCCTAGGAAGGAAAAATCCATCACGGAGGGTCACACCGCAGTCAGCAGCAGAGGCAGGGACCAGCCCCAGGAATGCAGTCGCAGGTTCTCATCAACCACCGCCCACCCAGGGCTGAGCTGCCTTTCAAAGCTGGGCTCACACTCACAAGCTAAAGATCAATATCTTTGACTCAGCTATTGAACAATTTTCCTTGCAATATCTTCACATAACTGAGACATGAAAGATAATTTACAGAAACTGTAAGAAAACCACGCCAAACGTGTAATGGCAAAAGGACAAGCAAAGGCATTTTTCTGGAGACCTCACCTACCTCCCTAAAGACTTCCTTTAGGTTCTCTGCATCTCCTTTATCCACCCAAACAGACGCCTCCTTGAAGAAAGCGATATCAAAGAGATGTTAGCTTTGGTCCCAAGCGTATCAAACACTTGGACTTTGGGAAGCAACACCCAGCTTAGCAGCCCAGCCACCTTCCCTCTCCTGCAGAGCTCCCTGAAGGAGGATACAGTGCCCTCCCACGACTGGAAACGCTGCA